AACTTTATTTATTGTTATTATTAAACTAAAATCTCCAGCATGGGGAAGTGGGATGAGCTCGACTTTTCTCGACAATACTTTCTAACAAAAACAACAAGGTTCTGATTTTAGTTTAAAAAATACCTGAAATAGTCATGATTTAAAAGAAGGCTGGAGTTATTTATGAAGACTATTCATCCAGAGATGGTAACCTTAAAAAGTCATTTATTTTTATGTGATTTGACTAAAAAGCTGCAACAGTTGCATGGTGATAAAAAGTGAAACTGCTGCTTTAAGTGGAGTTATAGGGCTTAGCTCATTAGGCTAAATCAGCTAATTACATGGAGATTCTGTTACAGTTCCTCCTGCTAATTAATTTGAATGACTACCACCACTGTGTTCAGGAAATGAGTCTTCCCAGAACAGATGAGGTGAAATAAAAAACACCACATCAGGCAGTTTCTCGCAGCACCTGAGAGGTTGAAGGGAGAAGTTCTGCTTCCTTTATCGCTCCGTCGGCAGGAAGAACCAGACTCATTTTCTCCTGCTGAGAAAACAGAGGAAAAGCCAGGAGCAGCGATTCAGCAAAGACAACAAAGTAAAAACCTGCAGACAAACCGCTTTCTCTCCACATTCATTTAACCAACATGCCAGCGATACGTGAGCCAACTGGGGTCATGGTGGCCGACTTCCTCCTCTCAGGGTTCGACTTCAGAGTTTCATGATGGACGATCAACAGAAACTACAGATGATCGAATTTCACGCATGTCAGGCTTTGTGGGCTCATGTTTGAGCTTTAAGGGTACCCAAAATAAACAAAACAGAAAAAAACTCAATAAATTATGAAGTCTGTAAACAAAATTATCCTTAAAAATGTTTAGTTGAAACTGAAGACTTTTGTCTTCTAGTTCTTGGAATAAAGAGAAAAAAGAAAAAAATGATAAATCATGCAAATGGAAATGATTGAGCTCATTTTAACTTATCCTGCGATTAATTGATTTGTTTCTTTGATGATGAGAATGTCCTAAACCAAGCGACCAAAGATCAGTGGAAAGGCCTGATGCTGTCATTATGAACTCCAGAGCCAAACTGTTCACTCAACTCAACATTTCCCTTTTCTTCAGCTGCATTTTGTGAAACTAAAAGAGAAATAAATATTGCTCCCATGCATTCCTGGAAACCCGCCGATAAAAACGCATCTGAAGACGAGAAGAAGGTCATTTAACTCAGAACCTGTTTTAAAAAATAAAGCTCAATGACCAGAATGAGATTCATTTTAATTGGTTGGGTTAACAGATTATTGTGGCTTATTTTTCTGTCAGAAAATGCAGTAGATTAATATTAAAAGGAAAGAAGAAAAGTTGTCATCAACTTCCAAAGTTTTTCCCCAGTAAAGTGCTAATTCAGTTCTGCTTTCCAGGTCAAGTTAACTTCACTGCTAATTGTTTGAAGTGCGTCTGTTTGGTCCTCAGAGACCGTTTCCAGCGAACGACGAGTACCAACCACTGAAAATGAATTCTGGCATATTGTGCCAAACAACATCATCTCAATTAGTGGTTGCACCTGTGCTTAGACCAATTATGCTCATTCACATCAAAAACAAATGACTCATAATGAGAGCGGAGCGAGCCGCTAAGGTCAGGAAAAACAATGATTGGACGCCGTTAACTTGGGTCTGCAGTTTGATGAAATGCATTGTGGATGGATTTAACGCTCAGGAAGAGGAAAAACATCTGACAGAGCGAGTGCATTGACATTTCTGTGATTCTGTGTTCATTATAGCCCAGTTCTGACCCGGTGTCTCGGTGAGCCAGGTGTAACCGTACAACTCCCACTCTCACGCCACTGAAAGTGTCTAACCTTGAAGGCACTCAAGCTGTAAATTGACAGTCAAAACACGGCGGGCTTTTAAGCAGAACCTTGTCGCGGATATGGAGTCGAGTCTGGGCTGTCGTTTAAACTTCAAGACGTACAGAGTGAACTCAAGGTCTGGAGCAGAGAGTGGGAATAAAAGAACAGCTCGCTGAGAAATGAAGCTGAAAGACGGAGAGGAAGTCATGAAGGGCAGGAAGTGAAGTCGACTCAGGAACAGGCAGCAGATCAGATCTGCTCAGATTACAACATTTAGAAGAGCTGATGTGGAGCGTCTGGTTTCAGATTTACCACAAGACTCTGGAGAATGGAGAACATCCTGCATGGATCTGAAACCACAGAACCACAGTGATGTTTATGAACTTTATGTTCCTAATTTAACACGTCAAAGCATCGTTTGGGTCTGACATCAGCAACGTTTCCACCAAAGACATGGCTGCACGACGTTAAACAGCCGTAAGACTTTTATTTTATTTATGTACAAAAGACATGAAAAAGATCAAATGTGTCATTTATGCTTCATTTATGTATTCAGTGTTTAAGCTCTTGCTTCAGTGATTTCTGAAAACAAGTATTTTTTCCCAAAATAGTTTAACAAAATAAAAGAATTAATAAAAAAATGATTTACTAAACTGAGGCATGAAGGTAGCAGCTGCAACGACGACGAGGACAGAAGATCCAAGAAACGAGGAACGGAAAACAAACGGGTAAAAAACGGAAGGAGCCGAAGGAGGAAGAAGAGAGGAAAACAACCAAATCAGAAAGAAAAATGAGCAGAGAGCAAAACATGAAACGGATCAATTAGAACCAAACCATGAAGACAAATAACAAAACCCAGAATAAAAGCAAACCAATCCGAAACCCTGACAACGGCAGGTCTGGACAGCAAGACGGTTTCTGGGCAGTAAGACGGTTTCTGGGCAGTAAGACGGTTTCTGGACAGTAAGACGGTTTCTGGACAGTAAGACGGTTTCTGGGCAGTAAGACGGTTTCTGGACAGTAAGACGGTTTCTGGACAGTAAGACGGTTTCTGGACAGTAAGACGGTTTCTGGGCAGTAAGACGGTTTCTGGGCAGTAAGACGGTTTCTGGGCAGTAAGACGGTTTCTGGACACGTCAGTTAAATCTACTCTGAACAAACCAAACTGCTTCCCAAAGCAACCGCTCCGATCTGGGGCCCAGGTGGAACCGACAGCAGGCCGGCCCATTTGGATCCCCACAAAAAGATCCACTGAGACCCGTTTGAATTAGAACCACACAGAACCCATAATTTATCTGGTTCTGCTGGGTTTCCATGGTGAAATCTGACTGAAAACCAAACAGATGGGCTCCACGTTGGGACTGTTGGAAGGTCAACGACCATCAGGGTCACCGACAGCAACGGGCTGTTTGTTAATAAGACTTTATTAACAAACAGGTCATAATTACATTCTAGCATTTAACTCTGTTTGGATCAAATGGTGGATTTATGTGGGAAATATGAAATGTACCCAGCAGCCAATAAGAGTCTAACAGCAGTTTGTCTCCCCGAGTTATTTTTAAATTGTTAAAGGTAGATAATAAATAAAGTGATGTTTAAAGGATTATTTCATCTCCAACTGAGTTAATTTCCCGTGGATAAATGATGAAGGCCGTCTGAGCAGACATGACGGTAAAGGAAGCACATTGATAAAGACGGACCAGGTGAGTATCGGCGGCAGAGATTCCTGCTCACAGGTGTGGGAGGAAGAGGAGTCGGGAGGAGAAAGGAGCTGGAAAAAAATCCAAATGTCTGGATTTTCACACCGTTAATTCAGCCGTGCAGAGCTTCATCGCACCATTCTCTCACTCTTCTCCGCTCCTGTCGGAAACATGCTAATTAGGGAAGCCGACTGACGTGAGCGAGGTTTAAAGGGTAATTAGCATAAAAATCCTACATGCTGTATTTTTACTTTCTCTAATCAACACCCTCACACGTACACGTTTTCTGATGTGAGAAAATGTGGCTTGACGCAATTAAAAATGAAAATTAGCATCCAGAAGGAGGGAGGTAGACAAAAAACACAACATTCTCTTGAATTTTGTTCTTTGTCTCATTTTATCCGCTTTATTTCCAGATGAAAGCAGAAGAAAAATGTAATTGTTTTTGCAAACAACATGATGAGCAGAGCTGCAGTGTTCTCGTTTAGCAGCAAACTTATTGGTCTGATTTGTGCTGGAAATGTTTCTCCCTAATGAAGTCTCCTGAGCTTCAACCGAACTCCAGCTTTACAGAACAAACCTGGACTAACAGGCGACTGAAAGCCGTAGGTGTGGACATTAAAACTTTTTACCAACTTTGTAGCAAAGTTAAGCTTTCAGAGGAGTTCAGTCGTTTCAGGTTGAATCTTTTGACACAAAGAAAAATCTCGAGTTTCTGAGGAGGAAGTTTAGTAAAGTTTGAAGGGAAACTCAGATCTCAGGTTTTTAGGAGGAAACGAGTTTTAAATCCGTAATCCAGGATTACGGATTTAAACTTGGAACCAAATCAAGTTTATCGTCTGAGGTTCAGATTCTCACATCTGATTTAACCTCAAAGATTCAATTTCAGATAAATATGTTAAAAAGTATTTATCCTCCTATGAAACATTAAAGTACAGCAGTTAAATTTAGTTTGAATTAAATTAGTAGAAATGGATTAAAACCAAAAACCATTTTTATGATGATGATTTGTTTGATGATCTATTGATGTATTTTACAGCTGAATTATATAAAGCATAAAACATTCATATTTGTGGAGTTTTGAGAGTTTAAAAACGATCATGTATGATATCAGTATTAAAAGCTCCAAAATAATTTGGAGAAAGAAAACTGAATAGAGGTGAGAAGTGAACTTTGTTGAAATGACGTCAGGTCATGCAGCAGAGTGTCCAGTGTGTCTGCATGGTCATTTTAAGCAGCTAAAACAAACAGCAGGTCGTAGTGAAATACAGTCCAGTCTAATTTTACAGGAGGATATCCCCATCAGGGCTGCAGCAAATGTTGCTTTAACTAAAATCAGAAGCACCATAATCTGGTTTTGAAGCCACGCCATGTATGCGCCGTGTCACGTTACCATGACAACCAGTTGCTTGCTTAATTTCACCCATTTATTTCCGTATAACCATATATCCAGATGGTTGACGGACCTGGATGCTAAGCCTGCGTCTGAACTTTGTGTTTTAGTTTTTCTTGCAGATGTTTGCTCTGAAACATGTTTGCGTTCCTGCGCTGGACGCTGCTGGCCTTTACCTCTAAAGGGCGTCCAATCAGCTCGCGTTTCATCAGTCCGCGCCGCTGCAGAGCAGAACCAAACTGCAGCTCTTTACTCTGACCTATGCAGCTCATTTGGGAAGTTTTATTTTCCGTTTGCTTTAAAAGGACAAAAGAAAAGTTTAATGAGGTCTGAGCTGAGGCTGAAAACAAGTTATTTTCCTGATCCAATGAGCAGAATACGACTTTCATCCAACCGGGCTGTTAGCCAACGCCCTCCATGCGCCGAGACGACGGAGCAGGAGAGGCAAAGCGTCTGAAACGCAGGCGAAGCTTCGTGACCTCAGCTGACCCCTGAGCACCATATGGCAGCACACCTGGACGGCCCGGAGGGACGGGAGACCGCTTGGACGGAGCAGAGAAGAGTGGTGCTGCCCGGACGCCCGGGGCGGTCCATATGCCCTGTTTTTGGATCAGAGACGGGCCTAACTGGGTCAGAGCAGAGAGGGCTCTGATCTGGGTAAACCCAAAACGCCGATCTGAATAAATCCCGTTCATACAGATCAGGATTAGGGAGAAAGAAAATAATTCTGACTTCTGATCGCCGAAGATCAAAGTTAAAATTCTGAGATTAAAGTGATAATTTTGTGATTAAAGTAGATTGGGAATATGACTAAAGGGCGATTCCACCTAATTTCCACTTCCTTCTGCATCTTTTATCAGTTTTAGTTTAAAAACTAAATTACTCTTCCACCCTGGTCTGGATTATTCTGGACTCTGTTTGCAATCAGTGAATCTTTTATTTGCATCTGGACACATTAGAAAAAGTCCAGCTCCAGAACTACAACACCTAAAATATTATAACCTAAACTAGATTATTCTGCACTTAAAGCAGAATCAAACAAACAACAATGTTTCTTTCACATCAGATATTTCACTACAAAAGGTTTTCTCAGAGTCCAGTTTTGTTTATGCTTCAGTAAAGATGTTAGATATTCATTTTTTCTTCTTTACAGATAATTCCTGGACTATATTTTTTATTTTTGTAGATTATTTTGCCTTTTATTGGAGGAAAATCCAACAGAAAGGCAACAATCTGCAGCGGTTGCCAAGACAATTATCACCTCCTGTATCTGCGTTGGAAGTGTTGGACCCGCCCAGCCGGTCCCCACGGTGATGTCACCGTTACCACGGATACGCAACACAGAGACCCGCAGCCCTGCCAATGCCCAGCAGGGGGTGAGGGGGCTGCTGGTTCCCCCATCTGCGCTCAGACTCATCTCTGCGGTTCTGACGGTTCTGACTCCGGAGCAGGAAGAAGTTTTTAAACCTGTTCATGAATCAACGCTTCTGGAAATGAAGCTTCAGGTTCAGCTCCTCTCTGCCAGAACAGATAAAAACTGAATTAAAATCCAGATCCGGTTCTGTAGGGACCCGTTTGGTAGCATTTTAGGGTCCGCAGGGGCCCCAGAACACCGTTTATAGAAACCCAGGCGGTTCTTATGTTCCAACCCAAAACCTCTCAGTCATAAACTGCCATTAAAAAAATGTTATATTTAATATAATCTACATGAGTTTCTCTTTAGATTTTCACGTTGTTCTAGTTCTGAGCTTCGTTTAAGTATTTTTTGAAACACGCCGTCTGTCCTCTCGTCTCGTCTCCTCTCAGTGCAGACATGCCAACAGTGTGTGGATCAGAACAAACCGGGTCACGGACACCGAACACCATCCGACTCGACCTGCTAGTCCGAGTCGGAATCATGATTTCCCGTCATTTCTTACGGACACAGCGACTCGTCTGACGAGCCGTGGCGTCTGCTCCTCGCTAACAGCCAGCTAAAGAGCCGCTAACGCCTTTTAGCTCGTTAGCGCTGGAATCTAGTGAGACCAGACCGACTGAAACGGACATATGGAAGGAGTCTGGCAGCAGACTGGCAGCCCTGATGCCAACTCGTTCAAAACACACGCACACACACACACACACACACACACACACACACGGTCCGTCCCTCATCTCTGACTTCCTGCTGTCCGATTAGCTGGAAACCTGCTCCACAAAAGCATCGTGGGAATTTCAGAGCCTCCTTGATTCCTCCACTTCACCAAGGCTGAAGTCCAGGATGAAGGCCAGCCTCAAACCCCGCCTCTATCTGCCTGACGTGAGCGTGTGTGTGTGTGTGTGTGTGTGTGTGTGTGTGTGTGTGTGTGTGTCGACAGCTGGCCTCAGCATCTACTCTGAGTGGCAGGTTGGCTGCTGGGTGGAGGAATCGCTGAGCAGCAGATCGGTGCTGAAGCTCTTCCTGGATTTACTGTGACGCCTGATCCTCCAAACTGAGACGCTCTGAAGAGTTCAGGCCTGAAAATGTTCCTCATGTCAGAGTCTCAGTTTAACCTCCTTTGGGATGTGGTGGTTGCTAAGATGGAAGAGTCGGTTTGAACTTCCTTCCTCTCTGCTCTGCATCCCTGTAGCCTTTTGAACTCCTCTGGGATCTGGGGTCAAAGTTCATGTGCTATTTGAGCTTTTAAGCCAATTATTTCTGGAGGCTTTCATGTAGTTGGCACTGCCAATCATTTCAGGAACATCTCCAGCTTGACTGGAACCGGAAGGCAGTTTGCACCACTGATTCTGAATTGCACTGAGGTCTGGACTTTGACTAGGCCATAAAGCAACAGGAAACACCCCTTAGTTCAATTATCGCTCAGGTGGGTTTTCCCACTACAACCTTCAATAAAAGTCTAAGTAAATGAAATTACAGAAGAAATCTTTCCATGACGCTGCAGATGGGTAACCTCTCTTCCTGAAGCGCATTTCAAACACCTGCACTGCAACATTCCACATTTCAAACTTTCTCCAATCATATCTTCCTCAGATAAACATAAAGTTCAGTTTTTAAACTGTTAAATTGTCTGAGAAATCATTTCCTGAACGTGTTGCTGGAGCCAGCAGCGGCAGTACTTTAATCTCAGCGTTGTGCAGCATCATCGCTTCGCCCAACTGTTGCCTAATCCTCCTCTCTGCCGGAGAACGGCAGCAGATGGGTTTGTTCCTTTGTTAATAATGAATGCTCCTGGATATGATGTGAAGCAGCAAAATCTGCTTTTATACACTTGTGTGTGGTTTTTTTTGACGTGGTGACAGAAATGTGAAGCGACTCAACCTGCGGATAACCTGGAGAGCTGCTGTCGCTGCCAGCAGACGAGGCGCTGCGGTCGGGTTAGAGGACCGGACGAGCCCCCATCTCCGGGGGCTCGGGGAGCAGCGTGGTCCCGGCACCACGGGCCGGCGCCGCGGGCCGCCGCACACCAACACACATCCAGATAAAGACGCATGAATGCATCTAAACACACACACAGCTCTGCTATCAGTCACTGGCCTGGACATGCCCAGATGTTCCTGCTCCGTCAGAATCACAACACGCTCCACATGTCAGACGGCGCTCCAGAAGGTTCTGGAAAACAGACCTTTCACTTCATACATAGCTGATGGGAGCTGCAGGCCCCAAGAGGCAACGTGATGCAAGAGTCTGATTTTTTTAATCCTGAGCATCAATCTGTTCAAACATTAAGCGCCATTATCCTAACAGAGTTTGTTTGCGGTAATCCGGCTGAGATGGAGGGAAGGAAAGCTTCAGCTGGAACATTTCCTGGGTTTTCTCCAGACTCCGACTCGCCTTCGTTGCTCAGAAACAACTTCACAGGAGAAAGAAACTTATAATGTAGAGTCGTGTTTGTTCTGTTCAGAACAGATCAGTTAAAATGCATTTTCACCACTTCCCCCTTTTCAGTCACTAATAAACTTCAAGAAATCAGTAAAGTGTCAAGTTGCTTCCTGAAGGATTCTTCAGTAGTCAGATTACTTTTTCAAGGTAGCTGGTTACCTTGGTTACGCTAGAAGCAAAATAAAAATGAAGTGGCTACAGAGGAGTATATTTCTGCCAAAAATAAAAATTTGATTCTGAGATTATTTCACAAATTTACAAGCAAAACTAGGATTTTCTATTATATTGAAAAGTCATAAAATCCCACAAATAAAAATTTTAAATTCCGATGATTAAAAGCAAATTTACAAAATTTACAATATTAAAACTAAGATATTTTCTGCCTATAGAAAGTCAGAGATTTGTAATGAAAACTCAGAAGTTTACAAAGATTATAAAGTCAGACATTCGAGACAAAATGTCAGAAATCTTGCTGACAGAACTGGGCCGTGTTCCTGGATCAGAACGTCTCCGGGTCCGGACCCAACGCCGCCATGTTGGAGTTTCTTCCTCGCCGTCTCAGACGTTTGTTCTGCATCCAAAACGTTCCTGGTGAGCCCAGATCCGGCCAGGAAATCCGGGTTCTGATCGGGAAAACATCCCGATCAGAACCCGGATCTTCCAGAACCAACCTGGAAAATATCTGCTGAAGTTACAACCTCAGAGTCCCGACTGTTTCTGTTCGTCATAAATATGTGACTAACCTCAAACCTCAATCATTCAATCATTAAGCCACTTCTTAGATCAGAGAATATCCATGCTGTATTCTTGCAAATACCAAATTATTTTTCTGTCTGTGCAGAGCAACAACAGAGTAAAGATGTCTGAAAATAGTAAAAAGGCCCAACAATCATTAGATTTTAATCTGATTAAATATTTTCACCATCTTTGCTCTTCCCTCCACCGTTTTCTTATTTTGGACCAAGAAAAGCTAAACCCTCCTGAAGGAAAAGTGAGACCGTTTCACTTCAACAGCTACAAACCTGATCTGAACATATTGAGCATAAATAATTCAAAACGTGAAGCTTGGTCAGGGGAAATGTGGAGCGGAGCTGTCCAGGTTCCCTCCCCGTCTCCAGCAGGAGAATACAGTAATTTCAGTGAGATTAGAGCTTCATCAGGCAGCAGGAGGTGACAGTCTCTTTATTATCCAGCAGAAATGAAGCTAATTTAATGCCATTGATCTGGAGCCTGTCAGCAGCTCAGAGCCTAGCAACAGGCGTGAGGTCTGCGCGTGGGCGCATGTGTAACAACCGCACGCATCCTCTTTATTGAATATGTTATTATTGGAAAATATATTGCTGCTATGAAATGTCATGAAAAGAAGTTTGTTTTATGTCTTCAATAAAGTTTTATATCAAAGTTTGGTTCATTTATTATAGCTTCCATCAGTTTTTATCCCTTATAAATTATTATTACCTGAACTGTTTTCCTGAAAGTCCTGAATTAAGTTCAACTTTTTTAATGTCACAAATTACAGACAGCAAAAATCAAAACAAAAGTTACTTTTCAGCAAAATATCGGAGCTTAATTCAACTAATTCCTTCATCTTAATACAAATAGTTTCACTTATAACAAGATATTTATTCATATTAAAGAATTATTGTTAGTTCCGTTTCATTTCAAGTCTACAAAGACACTCAAACTAAAATAAATCTTGGTAAGATTTTGTATTTTTGCAGTGTAGGTAAAAAAACAACATTTTTTATGTTTGCTTAACTTTATCAAAAACAGCAGATGAGTGTTGATCATCAAAATTTGCAAAATGGCTGCTGAGAATTTAATTGTAATTAAAGAAATATTTAAAACTGGTTGCCATAGCAAACGTTAGATGCTACAGCATGTATGGTAGCTGGGAAGAAAAAAGCCTTTTCTACCATCACAAATGTAAACACATTGACTTTGTTCAACTCTACTAGGACTTTAACTAGACCTGTGATAAGGTGAGATAAGGATGTGTGATGCTGTGGGCCGTTTCTCTTCCCAAGGCTCAAAAGCTTTATAAAACACCGGGATGATAATCTGACGATGGGTTGATGTTCCTCCATCAGAGCCTCAGGCCTAAACTCTCCAGATGTTTAATTTAAATGTTTGTGACAGAATCAGAATCACGTTTCGTTTCTTTAATATTTCATCCTCCTTCAGCTGTGATGCAGTGAAACTCTGCCTCTGCTTTGACTCCATCAGCGGTAACGAGCTGCTGTCCTCCTCCTGTTTTCTCTCTGCGTTGTTGTGCAGGTAGGCGTGTTGTCGCCCTTTCAGAGCCAGATATATCTGGACTCAATTAGTCGCCGTGTCACAGCATGTTGGAGCGGCGCCGGTCCAACGGACCCGGCTGATGCTGTAAATCAGGCTCTAATAGGGCGAGCGGCGCTCGGTGCGTGCCGCGGCACAAGACGACCACTTCCCAGCATTTTATCAGCCGTTTGGTAACGATGGGTGGATCGACGCGGGCTTTAATGGCGGCTGGTAATTTGTGTTAAAGCCTCCAGCTGGAGCCCACTGAGGCTCTCCACCAGGAACTTTATGCCTTGAAACGCGGGAAAGGTCACAGCCGGCGTTCCTCCATTGATCAGACAGGATCAATGCAGCTAATGTTCTCCTAGTTACTTTGTTTTGCCTGGTTAGAAAATCAAAAGCGTATTTATGACGGTCATTTCTTGCCTGTACTGGTCAGAGATCTTCACCAGAGCCCAGATGAAAGCAGCGACCACACAAATCTTTATTCATGTTCCATCATTTAAACTCGCAGCTTTGTCCCTTTGTAGCGGTGTTCAAAGCTCCGTCTCCTAAAACGTGTTAGCATGGAATAAAGACGGAGCAACAATTTGGTTCGGCTCGGAGGTATTATCTCCGGCGCGCAGAGCGTGGCCCGGCAATCAAAGAGGCGCCTGCTGCAGCCGAGACAAGAGCAGGAGGCGCCGAGCGCGGAAATAATTAGATGGCCCAGATTGACAAACATCAATAAAATGACAGCAGTTCTGTATGGAGGAAGAAATGAGACCTGCTCGTTTGGGAAGGTTCAGGCGTCCAATCAAAGCAGGGGACAACACTTCGGTATTGATCAGTATTAGCTGAACTGTAATTGGCTTCAGATGCTGAAAACACAGCAGAGCTCTGCTGTGTTTTCATGAGACGACGCTCTGAGAGCATTAACACCGGCCCAGTTCAGTCCGCTTTAATACCACTGAACTGCTTTAAACCAACTCCAGTCCGACTGACAAGAAAGTCCGGTTCGGTTGGTTTGGTGTGAACGCTAATCAAACTCTGGTCCTTCAACTGATTCTGGTTCAGTTTGAATCCATATCTGAACGCCAAGTGGACCGGAGACCGCTCCAAAAGCAGGAAGTGGACTACGGCGCAGGGCATTCTGGGTAAATACAACCACAGCTAATGTGTTAGCCTAGCGCTAGCAGCAGAAATAGCTCCTGGTCTTCAGCCAAAGACTAAAGAGAAATCCTCCAACCGCTAAAATCCTCCATCTTGTTTCCATCTGGTGAAGAAGGAAGTTGCTCTCAGTGTCTTCAGAGGTTTTTGTGTCGTTTCCCTAAGTGGTTCTTGGTGCAGCGCCCCCACAGGCCAGGAGGGGAACAGGTTGGTTTGGCTCAGAACCACAGCAGCTGGAAATGTTGGGAGTTTTGGACCCAATAGAACCAGATCGTTTTGTTCCAGCAGCAATATTTGTAAAGCTACTCCAAGACGAACATGTTGAGTCACAATTATTGTATTTAAGTTGAAACTGTTGCATCATTTTATCCATTTAATTGATTAGTTTTATAATTAAGTCGATACATTTTTTTTTTTTACTTTGTATTGCCACTACCAGCTGGGAAATCAGCCTCTGCTTACATGTGTTTGTGGGAATGACTGAAGTCAGGCACTGTGTGATGAATGTGGGGAACAGCTACTTTACTTTAACCACTTATGATAAATCTGTCATGTTTTTCTTTCTCAACATCTTTTATAGCTTTTTATCCTTCATGGGGAGGACTTGATTCATGTTGGGCGATTAAAATGAAGAATACTGAGTGAAGTCCTAATGAAGGTATTCTTCTGGTTTCTCGGTGGAAACGGTTTCAGATTGTGACACCTGTTCAGGTGTGAGACCCTGACCTTTCCATCAGGTTTAGAAAACCACCATGATGTCCGAAACGAACCGCTTCCTGAAGCTGAATGGTAAATTTCCCACTAAGCAAACCGTTGCAGAATTAAAACTGTACTATTTAGTGCAGCACAGCAAATTAACTTTAAACTTCACGTTTATCTGAAACCTTCTGATGACGCCGTTTCTGTTCTTTCCACAAGTCAAAGATGAGTTGACATGGCAACTGTTGCTCTTATTTTAGCTGTTGCTTTATTTGCTTCATGTTCAGGTGGCTTCGCTCGTTCCCAAATACATCAAAGCATTTAGAGCGGGAAGAAAGGAAACGCGTCCAGAACCTGAGAGCGACCCGATCCCAGAGGAAAGGCCTCACTGCTGCAGAGAAACGCCATTAAATGTGTTCATCTAAAGCGGCATTTTTAACAACACCTGGAGGCGCGGAGTCGGCGCCTGGCGGCTCTGGCAGGAAGTGATACATAATAAACGGAGTCTTACTTCATTAGGCGGTGACATTATTTCCAGATATTGCTCTATGAGACAGAGTGTACAATAACACAATAACAACCCCCGCTGCAGGATGGAGACCCAGAACTTATCACTGTACGCCGTACTGTACCGCTCTCACCTAAACACTCAGATATTTCCCAGTGTAGGCCGTAATTATTTCCCCCGCCCTCCGGCGTAATTTAATCCACCGAGTGCATATTCAATTCAGATCCGGGCTTCTCGGTGAGCTGCGAGGTGCTCAGCGCGATTGTCTCTGAAATTGGATTATGATAACCTGTCACAGCTTTAATTCCATAAGATATTAAAGGTGGAGGAGCGGGGTGGGGGCGTCACTGGAAGGAGGCAGAGGAAGAGTGGATTGAGGCGGCTGCTCCGGCGTTGAGAGGCGGGACGTGTTGAGAGCTTCTTTAAACTTTAAACAGCCACTAGAGAAGATACTGGAGGGAATGCTACTGATGAAACAGCAGCTGGCGCTATAGATCTATGACATGGGTTACTGCTGAAAACTGGAGCACATTCTAGGATAAACTTATCTGGATCAAAGACATCAAAGGGTACAAATAAATAATATGGATTCTGGTTAGTTGAAGGTGAACTGTGGCGTCCCACAGGGTCTGTGCTGGGTCCTACGTGGTTGTTATTTTATATAAATGATAAATGTAGCCAAGTTACTAACATTTAATTTATGTTGCTCTGGAAATTATGGTCAACAAAATGTAAAGGCCACAACGCAACAAAAGTCAGTAAGTTTGTTTTAACGTTTCTACAATTAAACATAGCTTCTGATTTAGCCCAACTATGGAGCCAACTCAGTACAACTTAGCTTAGCTCCTGATTTAGCATAGCTCCAGATTTAGCATAGCTCCTGATTTAGCTTAGCTCCTGATTTAGCATAGCTCCAGATTTAGCATAGCTCCTGATTTAGCATAGCTCCAGATTTAGCATAGCTCCAGATTTAGCATAGCTCCAGATTTAGCATAGCTCCAGATTTAGCTTAGCTCCTGATTTAGCTTAGCTCCTGATTTAGCACACCCTTACAGGCTAATCATTTTGTTGACCCTTCTAGGCCACCATAGGTTTATCTGGTGCAGCTTGTAAGCACAATTGAAGGAAAATAAATGCAACAAAAAAAAACACAATTTAAGAAATGGTTAAGGTTATGATAATACGGAAATAGAAAGTATGAAACTAGATCTTTATTTTTTTGGTTTTGATTCTTGATTACAAATGGAAAATCTCATATTTACAATCTAAAAGTTAAAATATTAAAAATAGCAATATTAAATAATATACTGTTAATGTTTTTATACATAAATTACTTTGGAGATCTGGGAAAAGTCTTAAATCAACCAAAAGCCGTGTAAAATCTTCAGGAAAAGGCCATAAGAATCATAAATGCTTCAGATTGTCATCCAACCAACTAAATATTTAATATGCTGCATATTTTATAATTTAGTAAAGCTCAGTAGAGCTCTACAAAGTACAAGGCTTAAAAAATCTTCTTCCATGTTGTATATTGAAGTGGTTGGAAATAAGAAAAACTGGGAGAAAAATTAAAATATTTTAATCTGAACTCAGAAGGATTAATGAGGAATAGCTGTTGAGGGAATTTAAAACTATTCTTACTAAGTAAAAAGGTACAAAAATAATTTACTAAACACATTGTGATGAAAGTTTATTTATTTTACCAGTTTGTCTACAAACTTGGCCAGAATTACTGATTAGGAAAATATCGAGCAAAATGCACTGCAAAAAGTAAAAGTATGGAAAGCTGAGCTACGTACTGAACACGTCTTTGGGTCTGCATCTCGTCTTTTAATTCTGTTTAGCTTTACGTTTATTTGTCGTCTTTTAAAAAAGCCTGTAAATTAACTAACTAGTGGCTGAAACGCGATGGAGTCCGTCAGGTGAAGCAGGGCAGGAAGGGCGGAGGCGTTCTGGGGCGGAGGCGGTCTCGGGGCGGAGGCGTTCTGGGGGTGGAGGCGGTCTGGGGGTGGAGGCGGTCTCAGGGCGGAGGCGTTCTGGGGCGCCATCGTCTCCCTGACAGTCGGGTTAAAGCGTCCTCATCCTGCTCCGGTCTTAATCTTCCCAATAATCCAAAGCATCAGCTTCCAGATCCACTCAGTTCCACAGCAACATTTCATCCAGGGACCAAAAGAAAAATAAGCCTTTAAAAATTCAACAGCAGCTTCTCTTTCTACCAACGCTGCCCCCATTCTGCTGAATAACACCGACTGCTGAGCTATTTGTGTTTCTCACTAAAGAAAAACTATATCTGAAACCATCCCAAAAGAAAAAGGGACTTTAAACAGCAACCCAGATATTTTGCACTAAATATTTCATCCTCTTTGCTCTCAGTTCTCAGGAACAGCAGCTGAAGTCGCCAAATAATTTCCAGCTGAAGGAAATATTTTATTTAAATCGTCAAATGAAGCTTTGATCATAAAGTCAAACACAATTATATCAAACATTTAGACAAGTTTTCCACTCATTTCAGTTCTGTCACCTTCCGGGTCCATTACGTTACACATGTTTATTTTTCTAATGATAAAATTAATTTGGTCTAAAGAAACACTTAAATGTTTCGCAACGAGCAGAGGTACTCTCCTGTAACTTTATTAATAGTTCTTCATGTTTTCTGTTGAAATTCTACAGAAAAATAAATGAGGAAACAACAACAACCACCAACAAGGAGAAATATCAGACCTGAACTACAAAATTACCCAGAAGTCACATCATTAGGAAACAGACTCATCTCATTTCAACAAGCAGCTTTAAAAAATCCACCTTTGAAGCTCAAAACCTGTTTAAAATATGATTTTTTAAATATTTTTTATAGTTTTGACCAAAGAAACGAGAACCAACTGTAACTTCACGACAAGCTGCTGTAAATAAAGAGCCTAAAGATTCATGTGTTTTTGTTTTATCTTATTAATCTGTTCTTAGAATGCTGTATCTACGCATATTAGTGGAAAGTTGAGGGGAAGGAAAAAGTATTGTCATGTTCCCATTTATATTTTCAATTAGAGTCCAGAAGCAACTGGAGTGTTGGTGGAAAATAGTGAAATTATGAGAAAACAGCTGATATTATTGAGAAAAAGCTGGATTTTATGCTGGATATGAACTACTGAGTTCAACAGACTGCAGCCCAAACTACAACTATGCCACCAGGTTTTCTTTTCTGAGTTTCTTTCACGTCTCAGTTTGGTCTTTCAAGCTGCAGCAAAGAAGCAAATAACTTTTAGAATATGACAACACGCTGCGATTGTTGAATAAACGACTTTTATCATAAACCATGCAGCAAACATCTGCTGCAGAGCCGCTTTGAACCCAAACCCAGAATGTATTTTGCAGGAGACGCGAGCGGATAAGAAAACAACAAGCAGGTGTTTCCTGGCTTCACCCTGAGCTATGCAGCATTAAAACCTTTTGACTTCCACAGATCTGACATGTCAGCGGCTATTTTTGCCTTCAAACGAAGCGCGGCCCTCCGTCGCTGCAGGTGGAGCAGCGGTGGAGAACGGGGACGTTTTTATGAGGCGCGCCGCCTCCAGACTCTGATCATAACGCTGCAGATTCATATCTGATATTCAGTTGATTATAATGCAAAAGAATTACCACAAAGCTGGCAGTTTGGAGAAACGACATTTTATAGCTAATTTTGATTAGATTATCAATTATGAAGGTTTTCTCCAAACAAATTCCACCACAAAACAAAATAAACATCAATTAACAAGAAGAAGTCAAACAAACAAAGCAGCTTAAATCGTTTTAAACGAGCAGGAAAAACTGCTGCACTTCATTTTGTGCTTTTATCTCTGGCCAACAGCTGAAACGTAAATTTGTTTTCATTCAATTATCTTATAATAAACCACAAAGGCGTCTAATAATAACCACTCCACTGATTTCTGACACATTAGTAGTAATAAGAGTTCAAAAACAGGAGACACCATGTTTGCTGCACTGCAAAAACTAAATCTTATCAAGTAATTCTAGTCTAGTTTCTGACACAAATGAGTTAGTACATTAAAAATACTTAAACTAATTAATAAACATTTTCATCAAGATATCAGAGTCAATAATTTCTTAAAATTCATGAAAAGTCATTGTTTGATTTGATTTTTTTCATTTATAACATGGAAAAATGTAAATATAAGTTGTGTCTTTTTAAAGTGCACTAAAATATTTGCACTAAAAACTAGACCAGGGGTGTCAAACTCCAGTCCTCTGCTGTCCTGCAGTGTTTAGATGTGCCACAGGTAAAAACCAGTGGAATGAAATGGCTTAATTACCTCCTCCCGGTGTAGATCGGTTCTCCTGAGCCTTGCCAATGACCTAATTATTCTTTTCAGGTGTGGTGCAGCAGAGGCACATCTAAAAGTTGCAGGACAGCGGCCCTTGAGGACTGGAGTTTGACACCTCTGTCACTAGATGAACAATACTTGGTAAGATTTTACAAAATAATGTTCTGATAAAAAATCAACAACAATCAAAATCTTAGTTTTTGGTGGTGAGATGAAACTTCCCAGTTCCTGTAAATTAGCTTTAAACTCAAACTTTATGTTATTTTATCAGCAGTAGAAGAAATTCAACCAGTTAAAGGTTTTCAGCTTCCTTAGTAGCTTTGGTTTTTCTACGTTTTCATTAAAATGTAACAGGTAGTGATAAAGTTATAATCTGTTTTTAAAGACATTTCTGCTCCATTAATAATGATCCTCTGATTCTATCAGATGTTTGCAACATATTACAAAATATTAATAAAGTTAATGGCCTTCCTGAAATAACGGCCCAAAGAAATTTTCCCAAAAGTTTTTATTTTTTTGCAAAAATCACCAACAAATTTTTTCCAAAACATGACTTAGTAAAATGATAATATGGTTTTATTTTATTTTTAAAGATGTTTGCTTAGTGACCTCTTACGGATGAATTAATTCAGCTCTTCAGTTATTTCCACTATCCCTGATTCTTGTCTAAAGTGTATAAATCATCTTGTGAAATGTAAATGTCGTCATTTCATTTTGCTTCTTTATGTCTGCATGAAACGGCTGCAGCTTCCTGATGCTTTAATGTGTGCAGAGTAAATTCCTCTAATCAAACATGAGAAATGGACTCCGTCCTTCATTAAACACACTAAAGTGGACCTAATGTGGGAAAAACATCTACATTTCTCTAACTATGAAGCGTCTTGCTCGCCCCCACCCCCTCTCTCTCTCTTTGAGGATGTCCCAATCATTTTTCTCACTAAATCAAAGCGGCTTCGTTTCAAACAAGCTCAGTTATTGCAAAGCCACACAGAGGTCGCAGAGGCAGAGACGGAGGCCAGCCGTCAGAGAAGATTAAAAACCATCGCTGT